AACAGGGGTCTCGCTCAAGCGTAGGATTCCCCGCTCGAGCGGACATGCAAACAAAAGCCTCCGCTCGAGCGTAAACTTTCATGCTCGAGCGTACTGAAAAAGTATTGGATGTGTGAAAATCACGATCGATTGGGCGCTCGACACCCGCTCGAGCGTGTGACACAAGTCCTCGCTCGAGCGTCCAATATGCCGACCGTAGGAGATCTTTATCATTCGAGGTGAGTGATCACGTCTTTTTGAAAATATAACCTAGACGGGGTTTGGTGAGATTTGGGAAAAGTGAAAAATTATTCCCTCGGTTTATTGGCCCTTTTGAGATCCTTGAGCGGATTGGGGAGGTTGCCTACTGTTTGGCGTTGCTGCCGCAACTGTCCGAAGTACAAGACGTGTTTCATGGTAGTATGCTTCGGAAATATGAGCTGGATCCATCACATGTGTTGGATTGGACCGACTTAGAAATAGATGAGGATGCTTCGTATGAAGAGAAACCGGTGAGGGTCTTGGATAGACGGGACCAAGTCTTGCAAGGCAAGACGATTTCCTTGGTCAAGGTATTGTGGAAACATCACGGAGTTGAGGAAGCGACTTAGGAACGTGAAATGGAAGACCGAGAGAAGTATCCGGACTTGTTTGCTAATGTATAACTTTGTATTGAGATTATAATTGTTATTAAGGAAAAGTATGAGAACATTGTATATGTTATGGACATCTTGGAAACATGAGTTTATTGTACACATTGCATATGTTTGGGAATATGGAATATCACGTGTATTGTATTATCTTGAGAGCATTGTATATGCCATGTACACTTCTTGAAAATTTGAGTTTTGATTAAACATTGTCAATATTTTGGAAATTGTGAACTTCGTTTCAATACGGGGCTCGTGTACCGAGTCGGTGGGAATGAATGGCCGGAGGATGGGTCATGGTATTGGATTTGTAAGAATAACATGGTTGGAAATGACCAAATGTTGATTTTGAACTTTATTTGTAATTTCGGGGACGAAATTCTTTAAGGGGAGGAGGTTATAGCGATCCCTGTTTCTAACTCGACCTTTATGGTGTTTCGGACTCGGGTCTTGTGGTTTAATGTTGTTGTTTATGTCTTTTCCTCTTCTTACCCTTTGAATTTGAGTTTTGAAATGTCTTGGGTGTGTTCAGAATAGGGTGGTTAGCTGTTGGATTATAATCTTGTTGCCTAGAATTTTAGTCTTTCGCTCAAGTGGGGTTTGCAATCATTCAGTACTTTGTGCGTCTGCAAAAAAAATACTGCGGAAGTGTTTTTCACGCACGAGCGGGTCTGAGCTCGAGCAGCCCCTCTGGTGCTCGAGCGATTGTCTGAAGTCTGTAAAATACTGGACGAGTGTATTCTACGCTCGAGTGGGTCTCATTGCGCTCGAGCGGGTAGTGTCATACTGTTGTGTCTTGGAGCTCGAGCAGCCTTTATTGTTCTCGAGCGGATCGAATTTTTGTGTTTGACGCTCGAGCGGACTGTGCGTATATCAGATCGCGAAAATGACTTTTTAAATCATTTTTCTGTCCTTTCTTTCTTAAAAACTTTCCAAAACCCTAAGTTGAGAGCTTCTCTCTCTAAAATACCCTATCTCTCTACATTTTAACCTAGATCTAGTGATCTCCTCATCCTCCTTCCTTTGATAAAAAGATTAAGCTCTTCAAGACCTCCATTTTCATCCGAGTAGAAGTTGATTTCGTCATCTTTGGAGTTCATCGCTTGCTTGACTCATCTTCTCTTCTTGAGTTAGGGATAATCTACTCATTTCTATGATCTTTAACATAAATATTGATCATTTTGGTATATATGGTTGGCTTGGGTGAAGTTAGGGTTTTGAGTTTGAAAAAGTAAAAGAGGGGTTTCCTATCTTGGGTTCTAGATGTATGTGAGAACTTGAAAATGGGGCTGTTCGTGTATAATGGGGAAAAATTTGGCCTTAGGTGCAATGTTTGAGAAAATGGGGAGAATGCCCTAATTTGCATTATATAAACTATTTGTTTAAATAGTAAAATCATTGTGGAAACATGAAATTGGTTTGGGAATTATGAAATTTAGAAAAATTATGATTAAGTGGTGTAGTTGGATTGATAAATCACTCACCTATGGAAAAGTTAATAATTTATCTGTTTGATAGATTTATTTATCTGTTTAGAGATAACTGTTTTGAGCTATCGGTGGAGGATAACTATGATTGTTGTAGAAACTGCATGATGATTAGGTAAATTGAAACTAGTCAATTGGATTATGTCATTGAATATGACGGTTAGATTAACACATTGAATATGTAATTTAATTAGTCATTGTATATGACAACATGTTTAAATACATTGCATATGTATCTTTGTTTAGAAGGAGAAATGGGATGTACACCACTGTTTGGGAGGAGATAGGGGATGAACTCCATTTGTAATTAATTTGGCCAAAGTGTCCAAGGTGAAAGTCCCGAAATCTTTTATACATTTGAATGATGTTGATGATTGAAGTGTTGATGATATGAGTTGTAGTCTCATTTTGAATTGATTGGATAAAAATGAACTATGTTAATAAATTGATTTGGATAAACAAATGGAAGTGGATTGAAATGTATGGATGTCAATGTTGATTGGTTATGGAAAAAGTGTAACTTGGTTTTCAAGTGTTAAACATATATCGGATGCTAATGTTGTAGTTAATTCTCATATGATGTTTAGCATATCTCTACTGGGCATTGGTTCACCCTACTTGGGATACCATTTTTCAGGTACAGGTGATATGCCGCCTCCAAGATCTTAGTTTGAGAGGTTTTGGAGTTGAAGACTCCTTTTTTGTCATTCGTTTAGATGTTAAATGTATATTCAAGCCTAGGGCTTTCTATGTATAGAGTTAGGACTCTTTTGTTGTAACCAAGTGATGACTTGGAAAACTGTAAGCCCGCAGGGCATTTATTTGTTTAATATCTTTTGTAAAGAATACTCTGATGAATGTAATATGTAACATTTCTATTATGTTTTATGGATTTTATGAATGGATGATTATGTCTTATTTTGAGGGCGTGACACTTCTTACTAGGATGCTAACCGTGGCCAAACATGTGGTCTTATTATACAAATATGAAACAAAAATGTTATATATATAGAATTAAAAAAAATAAAAAAAATGCTTAATTAGAATTCGCATGCATACTTATAAATTTGAACATAGTACCATATGAGTTACACTTAAAATGAATTTGATTCACACATTTTAAATGATAAATTACACTTTATCACACCAAATATGAGCTTTTATACTCTCTCTTAACTAAAAATTACTAGTATATTTTACTATGAAAAGGTGACATGTGAGTCTTTACATATTAATTCTATGTATGAAAGTGACATTTTTCTATCTAGTCATAAAATTAGCATCTGTATATATTTTCCCCCACAAATTTTATTCATATGAGTATGAATGGCAACGGGCCGGGACAGGGCCGGGGACTACCCCCCCCAGTCCTCGATCCCCGATGATTACAAAATCCCCACCCACACCCCCGATTCCCGCGCGGGGGAGCCCATCACCCTCTCGTCCTCGTCCCTTAACGGGGATCGGGTTTCCCCGACCCCGAAATATCCCCGAGCTTTTTTTTTTTTCGAATTTTGTTCAACAAACCACTACTAATCAATATATATCACAAATCAACAAACCAATTTTGTTCAATATATAACAGATCTAACAGATCCAACAGATCAATGTTGTTCAATATATAACAGATCAACATATAATTAACACAAATTAAAAAAAAATTTATTCTGAACAACACAGATCTGAGTACAGATCAACAACAACAACATCAGGTCAGAGAGAGAGAGAGAGAAGACAGATCTAACAGATCTGAGTACAGATCAACAACAACAACATCAGATCAGAGAGAGAGAGAGAGAGAAGACAGATCTAACAGATCTGAGTATAGATCTGGCACACCTTCGTCGACGCCAATGACCAGGCTCTTATGGCGAGATCGACGGTGACGGTGGCTGTGGCGGTGGGTTCGGTACTGGTGAGAGACGGACCTTCTGCTCAAGAATAGAGAGATACGAAGTGGAGAGAGAGAAAGAGAAACCGAGGCGAGGAGAAGAGAGAGAGGGGGGTCGGGGCTAGCGGTGGTGGTGGTCATGTCGCCATGACGGACACTGTAAGAGAGCTGTGAGAGAGAGAGAAGAACGAGAGTGTTGAGAGAGAGTTGAGAACGAGAAAGTGAAGAGAGTGAGAGAGTTGAGAGAGAAGATAAGAGTGAGAGAGTAAAGAGTCAGTGAGAGAGTTGAGAGAGAGAAGATAAGATGAAAACAAATATTTATATAATACAACTAAAGAGGCATAGAGGCGGGGCTGCATCGGGGAAATTTCGGGGCCGGGGCTGGTGCCGAGGAGCCTATCCCCGTCCCCGGCCTGAAAATTATCAGGGATGTATTTTTCAATACCAGCCCCAGCCCTATGGGGAATAATTTTCAGGGAAAACCCTATTTGTCGGGGCAGGGCGGTCCGGGTCCCCGTCAGGCCGAGTTTATATTGCCATCCCTACATATGAGAAAATTTTATATACATATCTTGTTATGTAAATAAATTATCTCTTGAATGAATATTTTAATTATAAAATTGGTACGAATAGTTCATATGTTAGTTTTTATCCCATTTAACATAATATTAAAAAAATATTGAGGCTGAAATAAATCAAAAGATTAATAAAATGAAATATAATAATTTTTAATTGAGATATGTAAAGTGCTTAAAATTTTCCATTTCTATATTCTGAAACTTTGTACCATTGCTGAATACAGAAGTGAAAAGGACTGCCATTAACATCCTACTTACTCCTTTGTAAATGTTAGGTGCACTGAAAAGGGCTTATTTGTTCACAGACCATACCCCCAATTCGGTGGAACCCTAGCTACAATTTGCCACTTTCGTAATAAGAAGAAAGAGTTAGGACATTTCCATATCCGATTAGCATAAATAGAGCATTCCATTTGCGAGGCAATCAATCACACACACCTCAAACTACAACAACAACGTGTGGAATTCTGATTCCAAGCAAATTAGAATGCTTTCCAAGTCCTTTCTATTCAAGTCTCTTGTTCTCCTCTTCTCTCGTCTTCTCCTAAAACATTTCAGAAAACCAAAAGGTCTCCACAGAAGCTTCAGTAATGCCAATTCTTCACAATCCAAATTCCAAAGGTACCCTTCTCTTGCTCAAAGATCAGACCTTTTGGACCAGACTTTGATCTTTAATGTCGAGGGAGCTCTTTTAAAGTCCCCATCTTTGTTTCCCTACTTCATGTTAGTGGCATTTGAAGCTGGAAGCATATTGAGGGCCTTTGTTCTGTTTATTTTGTACCCATTTGTTTGTTTTGTTGGTCATGAGATGGGTTTGAAGATTATGGTCATGGTTTGCTTTTTTGGGATCAAGAAAGAGAGCTTTACAGCTGGAAGAGCTGTTTTGCCTAAGTTCTTTCTAGAGGATGTTGGGTTGGAAAGCTTTGAGGTGTTGAGGAGATCAGGTGGGGTGAGAGTGGGTGTGAGTGATTTGCCTCAGGTAATGGTGGAGTGTTTCTTGAGGGATTACTTGGAGGTTGAGTTTGTGGTTGGGAGAGACCTCAAAGTGTGTTGTGGGTACTTTGTGGGACTCATGGAAGACAAAAAGAAGATTGTTCTTGATGAGATATTTGAAGATGAGCAGAAGCAGATAGCTAGCAACATCATTGGAATTAGTGGCTTCACCAAATCTGTTGATCATCACTTGTTCTCTTATTGCAAGGTCGGTCTTTTTTTTGATCTCATCAAACTCGTAAAATTATTTGATGTCATAAGAGGTACTGTCACAACCAATATCACACCTGTGATGTGAGATCAGTTTTCAACAAACGCCACACACGGTGCAACATCCTTGCCTACCCCTCTTTCTTTCTGCACGTATAGACAAATATTAATCCCACTCAAAAAAATGCTATTCTTTAAAAAAGGAAAATTTCCAAAATCACCCATCAGACATGACATTAGATTTTTTTTTTATAAATAAAATAGATCTCAATAAGTTCTAAATTATAAAGGGATAAACTCACGACTCAACACATAATTCTAGTATGCATTGTTTGTTTATATATGAGTATTCATTGCCCTAATGGTCTCTACTTGGGAATTGTTGCAACAGGAGATTTACTTGGTGAGTAAAGCAGACAGGAGGAACTGCCATCATCTACCCAGAGACAGATACCCCAACCCTCTTATCTTTCATGATGGTAGGTTGGCATTCAGACCTACCCCTCTGGCCACTCTATTCATGTTTATGTGGGTCCCATTTGGGTTTACCCTAGCCCTCATTAGGACCATTATCGCTTTATCAATGCCCTACAATATGCTCATCCCTATCTTAGCCTTCACTGGTCTGCGACTCAAGGTTATAAATCCCAACTTCCACAACCACTCGTCAGTTTCAAAGCCAGAGCTAGACAATAGTAACAAACCCAAAGCCAAAGGCCAACTATATGTCTGTAACCACAGAACTTTACTGGACCCTTTATACTTCTCTTTTGGTATTAAGAAGCCCGTCACTGCAGTAACATACAGCCTCAGTAGAATGTCCGAGCTGTTGGCACCGATCAGGACCATCCGATTAACAAGGGACAGATATCAAGATGCTAAAATGATGGAGAAGCTGTTGAATCAAGGGGACATGATTGTTTGCCCTGAAGGGACCACTTGTAGGGAACCATATTTACTGAGGTTCAGCCCATTGTTTACAGAGATGAGTGATGAGATAGTCCCTGTGGCAATGGACGCACAGGTGAGCATGTTCTATGGCACAACTGCGAGTGGGCTCAAGTGTCTGGACCCACTTTTCTTTCTCATGAACCCGTCACCTAGTTACACCATTAGGTTCCTTGATAAAGTCCGTGGGGCAACCACATGTGATAAATCAAGGTTTGCGGTGGCCAATCTTGTACAGAGTGAGCTTGGTAAGGCATTGGGGTTTGAATGCACTAGGCTTACAAGAAGGGACAAGTACTTGATCTTAGCAGGCAATGAAGGGATTGTTCCTAATGGTAAAAAATTCTAGAACCTAAACATGTAGTATACTCTACACCCTGTAATCTTACCCACATTACTATATATATATTTGTTATGCATCAACTCATTTTAGAATGACGGTTCTATTGAATTTCAGTGTTGCTGGGATTGTGTGCGAAATTTTATCTGCCATCCATGGCCTCTTTGCCTTCTATTTATTTTTACTGTATTGTTTGGTATCAAAATATTAATTCTTATGTTTGATTCATTAAAAAAATAGAAAATATGATGCAAATTGTGACGCCCTCAAAAGTAAACTCATTTATCATATATTCTTGACATGTTTAGATGAAAGAGAATAAAGCATAATTTCATAAATCAGAGTATCCTATACAAAATGTATTACATGTTGACAACAAAAGTAAATGCCCTATAGGCTTATAACTTTTAAAGTCAACACTTGGTTACAAAAGGAGAGTACTAACTCTACACAGAATAAGCCATTGGCTTGATATACATGTACTACAACAAAATAAAACAAAAAGAGTCTTCGACTCCCACTGCCATCCAAGCTAAGGCCTCGGAGGCAGCATACTACTTTTACTTGAAAATAATGTCCCATATAGGGTGAGGCAACGCCCAGTAGAGATATGTTAAACATAACATGAGCAATAATTAAAACATTAGCACTTGATAAATGTTTAACTTAATAAAACTCAACTTATAAACATGGCTCAGAACCTGGCCAAATAACTGAAGTAAGACTACATCTCATGCCAACAATACTACAAACTGCCATTTTACGGAAATTGCGTCCGCGGGATTCGGCACCCATGTATTTTCATTCTCTCAAGGCCATTTTGCAGACATTTCATCCGCGGGACTCGGCACCCATGTATAGATATATCCGGATTGCCATTTTACGAAAATTGCGTCTGTGGGATTCGGTACCCATGTACAATTTTATTCAAATGGTCATTTTACGGAGATTTCATCCGTGGGATTCGGCACCCATGTATTCAAATACACAACTTGATTAGTTTCAATTCACCTAATCATCATGCAATGTCTACAACAATTAAGACTATCATTCACCGATAGCCCAAAGCAGTTATTTTTAAACAGATAATAAATGCCTGAACAGATATATAATTGACATTTTCAAAAGTGAGCGATTTATAAATTCAACTCTACCATTCTATCTCATAATGAGCAAATTTCATTATCCCCAACTCAATTTCATAACAAATGTCATTAATTACACTAATGACCCAAATATACCCAAATATGGCACTTTTCCCTTTAAACTCAATATTGACCCAAAGGTCCAAATATCTCCAACAACATCAATAATCTCTTTTTAAGACCCCAAATATATATATATGAGTCAACAAGACAAAGCCCCTCTTTTTCAATATAATACATTACAAACCCTAACTTCCCAAACCAAACCATTTATACAAAAGCTTTACATTTAGGTTAAAGATCATAAAGATGAGTAGGAATCCCTACCTCAAATTTCGGAGCTCAACGAAGAAGATGATGAAAACTCAAAGTGCTCTAAACCCCATGATTTTCGGATCAAAAGATAGCTCACACCAAGATCAACACTTTTTGTAAAGGCTCAATGGTAGGAGATCACTCTAACTATATCAAACCCTAGAGAGAAGGTAGATTCTAGAGAGAGGAGCTCTCAAAAATGGCCTTTTGAAAAGTAAGAGAGAGAAGGAAAGTGAAAAAGTGATCTAAAAAGAACCAGCTGATATCTGATATACGTATGACCCGCTCGAGCGGAGAATAGGACGCTCGAGCGTCAGACACAAAAACTGAACACGCTCGAGCGCAAAGATTCCCGCTCGAGCGCCAAGAAACAATTGCAAAACACACCCGCTCGAGTGCAAAGGGAAAGCCGCTCGAGCGTAGATTCCCCCCTTCCAGAACTTTTACAGACAATGAGCTACCCGCTCGAGCGCTAATACACCTGCTCGAGCGCTACCCGCTTGAGCAGTAAGGAAATCCGCTCGAGCGTGAAAAACACACCTGTAGAAGTTTTGCAGAGGCACGAAATGCTGAGAGTGTGTAAACCCCGCTCGAGCGCAATAAGGCCCGCTCGATCGGACAACCAAAAATCAAACTCCGCTTGAGCGCAGAGGGACCCGCTCGAGCGTACCACCAAAAATCTAGGCAACAAGGAATAGGACTAAAGCTCAACCAACCTGCTCGAAACACGCCCAATACATTCTAAAACTCAAACACACGGAATTAAAGGATAACACAAGATATACAACCACCAACTCCACGGAACCTAAGTCCGGAATACAACAATCAAAGGAAGAGAAACCGGGATCGCTATAACCTCCCCCCCTTAAAGAATTTCGTCCCCGAAATTAAATACAAGTTTTCTCAATCACCAACATTATTACAATATAAAATTTAACAGCTTGACCCATTACCGATCATTCCATCTCTATTCAAGAGGCAAACTTCCAACATAATCTCCAACATGCATTATCAACATGCATCACAGAACAAATTCAATGCTAAAATTATATTTGCATTTCTAAAACAGAGTTAACATATGCAATGTTAAAATCAACTTTCATTACAAGGCAAGTTCTACAATATTCCCATAAACCAAAACATTCACAATGTTTTACAACTTAAGACATATTTAATGCTCTTAAAGTTTATCAATATTACAAAATCCCAATACATGGTTAAACATTTACAAACTAGTCCGAATATTTCTCACGGACATCCGCCTCACGTTCCCAAGTGGCTTCCTCCACTCCGTGATGTTTCCACAAAACCTTTACCAAGGGAATGGTCTTGCCTCGCAAGACCCGTACCGGTCTCTTCTCATACGAGGCATCCTCATCTACCTCTAAGTCGGTCCAATCCAACACGTGCGATGGATCCGGCTCGTACTTCCGAAGCATACTAACATGAAATACGTTATGCACTCCGAACAACTGCGGCGGCAAAGCTAAACGGTAAGTAATCTCCCCAATCCTCTCAAGGATATCAAAGGGACCAATAAATCGAGGGGACAACTTCCCACTCTTCCCAAACCTCATCAAACCTCGCCTAGGTGATATTTTCAGAAAAACATGATCACCCATCTCAAATGCCAATGGCCTCCTCCTACGGTCGGCATAACTCTTTTGGCGACTCTGGGCTGTAACAAGCCTCTTACGAATAAGCTCAACTTTCTTCGTCATTTCCCTCACCGACTCCGGGCCCAACAAAGGCGCATCACCCACCTCGGCCCAACAAACCGGAGACCTACACGGTCGGCCATACAAGCCCTCAAACGGCGCCATACTGATACTAGACTGAAAGTTGTTGTTGTAGGCAAACTCCACCAAGGGCAAATGCCTCTCCCACATCCCACTAAAGTCAATGACACAACCCCGAAGCATATCCTTAAAGATCTGAATAGTACGCTCGGACTGTCCGTCAGTCTGAGGATGGTAAGTTGTGCTAAAGGTCAGTTTAGTGCCCAAGGCACTCTGCAAACTCTGCCACAACCTAGCAGTAAAACGAGGATCTCTATCAGAGACGATCGACACTGGAACTCCGTGCAACCTCACTATGTCCCGAATATACAAGTCGGCAAGATGATCTACCGAATCTCTCACGCGCATAGGAATAAAGTACGCTGACTTAGTCAACCGGTCTACAACCACCCAAATGGCATCACTATCCCACTGAGTCCTCGGAAGGCCTACAACGAAGTCCATAGTAACATGCTCCCACTTCCACTCGGCAATAGGCAAGGGTTGCAACAAACCCGCTGGCCTCTGATGCTCGGCCTTCACTTGCTGACAAGTAAGGCACTTAGACACGAAAACTGCCACATCCTTCTTCATACCCCGCCACCAAAACTAACGACCTAGATCACGATACATCTTGGTGCCTCCCGAATGTACCGCAAGGCGTGAATGATGAAACTCTCGGAGTACTTCTTCTCGGCAAGACTTCGGCATAAACAGACGGTCACGAAATCTTACACTCAGGTCGGGATACACAGTCAAACCCTTCTCAGCCTTCCCACTAGAGATCTTCTCTCGGAGGGATTCTACTTCAAGGTCACCTCTCTGTGCCTCTAACACTCGAGTCACAAGTGTAGGCTGTGCAACAACAGAAAACAAGGCCGCAGCCTCAATGGATTCGCCTAGAAGCAAATCAAACTCACCAAGTTCACCTAACATATCCCACTCCTGGATGGCTATACAAGCAACATCACTAATGGATTTCCTACTAAGGGCATCAGCCACAACATTGGCCTTTCCCGGGTGATAGTGCAACTCAAAGTCATAATCCTCAATGAACTCCATCCACCTCCTCTGCCTCAAATTCAAGTCCCTCTATGTAAACAGGTACTTCAAACTCTTATGATCCGAGAACACCTCGAATTTCTCACCATACAGGTAGTGCCTCCAAATCTTCAAGGCAAAAATTACTGCTGCTAGTTCTAGGTCGTGAGTAGGGTAATTCCTCTCGTGAATCTTCAACTGACGTGAGCCATAAGCTACCACTTTCCCTTCTTGCATCAAGGCACAACCCAATCCCTCTCGTGAGGCATCACAATAAACCACATAACCCAAACCTCTCTCCAGAATAATCAACACCGGAGCGGTGGTCAATCTAACTTTCAACTCTTGGAATGACTTTTCACAAGTCTCACTCCATACAAATTTGACTCCTTTCCGCGTCAATCTAGTCAACGGCGAAGCTAGTCTAGATAAATCTTTCACAAACCGGCGGTAATACCCAACTAATCCCAGAAAACTACAGATCTCAAAAACGCTCTTAGGCTGTACCCAATCTTGCACTGCCTCAATCTTGGATGTATCAACAGACACCCCTTCCCCGGAAACCACATGGCCTAAGAACTTGACCTCTCCTAGCCAGAACTCACACTTCCCAAATTTGGCATACAGCCTATGGGCTCTAAGCAACTCGAGCACCACTCTCAAGTGTTCCTCGTGCTCCTCCTCCGAAGGCGAATAAATCAGAATGTCGTCTACGAAAACGACTACAAAGCGATCTAAGAATTCCCGAAATATCTGGTTCATCAAATCCATAAACACTGCCGGTGCATTGGTGAGCCCGAAAGGCATCACCAGAAACTCATAGTGGCCATACCGCGTACAGAATGCCATTTTCGGAATATCCTCCTCCCTGACCCTCAACTGATGGTAACTCG